TATTTAAAAAATAAAATTTTAATACTTTTTTTAAAGAGATGAAATTATCTCTTAAATTGTAATACAGGCAAATGATTATGCAAATCGGTAGCTTAATTTTTTTTTAAAAAAAATATATTTCATTTCTTATTTAATTTATTAATTATTTTATTATTCTAGAGAACTGAAAAATCTAATAGCGACGATAATAATTCAAATAAGAAAAAGCCACGATTATTTAGTAAAAAATCTAAAGAATCTCATCTTAATAACGAGAAACGTATTATGACATCTACTATTGCACAAATCTATAAAAAATATTTTTGTACTAATTGTAAAAGTTCTTGTTGGGTTACTCAAATCGGTCATGTTAAATTAATGAGTATATATTATACAATATAGGCTTGAGCAATCGTAAGAATTATTATTTTTTATATTCATTTATAATGACTTTGGGTGCTCTCAAGCATTTTCTCAAAATGATCAGCTAGTAAATGAGATCACATGAGTACAAGCAATTCTGAATGTGTGCCAGGTTTGTAGTATAGTTAAATTTTTCAAAGCTTGTTTATATTAAGGTTAGAGCTTATTATAGTTAGAGATTAGAAAATTTATAGTAAAATTACTCAAGAAAAACATTTTGTTAGTGCAAGAAGAGTAGTTTTATATATAATTTTTCAAGAAATAAATGATTTTTGACAAAATAGATATTCATTTTGAATTTTCTGTTCATATTACGTTGCACCTGATCGTGAAATCTGATTTGTAGTTTTGGCAATCTGCGCTACAAACCTAGCACATATTTAAGAAAGCTTTGAAAACATCCTTATACTTACCTGCTTTTGCTATTTCTTTATATACAAAGTGATATCACCTAAAGTGTAAATTATATTAAAATTATAAAATTTTTGATTATAAGATAAATAGATTAGCAGATATTAACATACTACCAAGTCATGCAATATTTATTTTGTTACCTAAAACAAAAGGGATGTCTAGTTCAAATCAAGTATTATCTAATTGTCTACAATTATTAGTTAATTCTTCATCACAATTGCTATCACAAATACTATCACAATCATTATCACAATCTCTTCCACAATCGTTATCACAACCATTTCCACAATTATCATCACAACCATTTCCACAAACACTTCTAGAAGCACCCTTACAAGTAACTTCACAAATACCTTTGCAAACAAATAATTTTTCATTACAACCATTAAATAATTTTT